CGTTCTATCGTGGCGTGCTTCCAGCCCATGTTTCTGCCTAGACTAGTCACCACACGGCTCAGCCAAGAAGCTATCGAGCTTTCGCAATACTCGTTCCAACAGATCAGTGGTTAGACTATTGCATGAACAGGCGTGTTTAAGCGGTAACAAGAAGGCCCGGATACAGGATGTACAGAATTCGGAATAGAAAGGCACTGTATGATTGGACAGTAAATCCACACCCACACAGATCATGGCAACTGAATGATCATGAGAGGCAGTCTGGAGGCCGAAGTCGTAGGAAGGCATACGAAACTCATAAACACAGTTTAAAAAAGAAGGTAGCCAAATTTTTTCATATTATTACCTTGGGTGACCGCTTTGACGTTACTGTGCTGTGACAGACTCGAAGACTACTCATCATAAATATTACGAACAACCTGTGAAAAACCCATTTATTCACTGTAAGTAAACAAAATGGAGCCACTTTTTGTACGATCAAACTGTGCGGACCTGTAGAGAACAACGTTTCCCACTAGTTGATTTGATATACTATGCATTCTCAGTCTTCGGAGGATTAGGTAAGATTCTTCCAAGGCATGCAAAGCACGTAACTAACGACCACATCAAGTCCAAGACCCAGGTGTTAAGAGCTACCATGGAGATTACAATTAACTAATCTTTTATCGAATGACGAAGTTGAGTAGGAGTATGACGAAGGTATTCTGATATATGCCATCGGGTTTACACCACCATATCTCACCAATCGTGAACAATATTGTCGGGTCTGTTGCGTACTACTTGCATTGACGTGCTGGGTAAAACGAACCCCACTATGAAATTTCCTCAGAAAGCGATAAATACACTTGCGATTATTTTTTTGGTCAGCTTAAGCTGAAAGTAAGAGTGAAACACATTTTAATTATTGGGTGCCAGTGGCAGTGAAACTACCCTAGAGCGGATACTTAGCTCATGAACATCTTGGCCGTTCCTCAAGAATGCCCCTGGCTAAGTTCCCAGGACGGAAGAATCAGGATTGCTAAAGAGCATCTCATATAATGAAAACCTTGACTTCACTTTATTGCTCTGGGAGGACCGACTAATGAAGCCAAGTAAAAGTGATGGGTCGTCTATTGAAAAGAACAATCAACCATCAGAACTAATTCCTAGAATGAGAGATAAAAGATGACGTGTCGCTTATCTATCAAAACACACGACGGGTAGACGGAAAAAATAAGTAGAAAATGTCAGTCGTTAGCAGCGATTGCATCTTGCAGTCCCTAGCCAATCGCAACGAGAGGTAACTTATGGTTTAGCTCACCAATGTCAGGAAGAAAAACAGTGATTTCGGTTAAATGTTTTATGGGAAACCCAAGACGCGTTTCTCCTACTCGGGAATGGCTTTGAGCAATGATCCACACAATTAAGTTGTTGTCCCGGAAATCCACCAAATGAAGAAAACCAAGGGACACAACTCCATTCTTGACTCTTTACGAAGATTGCTACGCACTACAAAAGCGTAGCTAACTTACATACATGAATGGCACGGAAGCAGTGACTTAACTGGCATCATTACTGCTTATGCCAGACAGTTGAAGATGCGTCATATGTGGTCGTTTGCGGACATGTTAGTCCATCCACTCACCCATTCTTGGTTGCCTATGTTGAACAAAGCCAACATGGCGCGAACACAAACGAGAAGACGCTTGTAAAAGGCAGTGTGTGGATGACCTCCATGAAGTGGAAGTTGACCTATTATTGATGGAGGTTGATGACATCGGAACAACCAGACAAAGCGTTAGCCAGTCGCATTAACCCCACAACCCATCCACCCCCTATCTAACATCACCACAGCACGGTCCAAATTTGTCGGCTTGCTTGGCTGAGTGCCAATTCCCGGCCCGTGAATCATCTGACAGTCAGGCTGAATAGTCGAAAAACTGACATGGTCAATCACGTCGCTACGTGTGCGGCCGGTAGACGGAGCATAAATCCGCTCAACATGGCTGATTACGAAAACAGAAGACAAAACGGACGGCAACCGTGATGCAATCTTCAAAGAAAATTGGCTACTTCGAAAAGATGAGAGCTGTTAGGAAACCACTGAGCTAACTGGATTTCATGAGTTCGATGTCCCCAAATCTGAAAACATTTGCAGCACTGAAGCAAGGTTCGATAACATTCAGCGAGACAAAGAAGTTCTCAGCAGTTCAATGGCAGGGAAAAAATGTCGTACGGGAACAATACCTTATGGTGCTCAGGAAGTCACGGAAAGGCAAGGACATTCCAATGAACTGTAGAACGGAGTGCCTGATAAAGATCTGCTTGGCTTTAATGAAATCTACATTATTGGCGAAAGCTCCATGCAAGAGATGCCACCGAGCGCTTAAAAAGGAAATAGTTTAGCTTATTCATTGTGAGGGAGCTTTGAAAGGGATGCGATAAATTAGCTTCTACTCTACTGTGATCAACAGGCACATAGGTAAAACGGTCGTCCACAGTAAAGTGCTGCCCGTATCTAATGACCTTCACTGTAATGGGCTCTACTCCAATACGACCGCCTGGCTGTGTTTCGTTCTACAGCCCGGCTATTTCACCAGTACGGTCGAATTAACCTGAAAATTTTCGAAGTTGTAATGGAGAAGTGGTTCCGTGCACGGTCTGTCGTATACTGGAATCGATTCTTGTAATGTCATCTATAGATAAGTTATTTGCCTCCACTCCGATAAAAATTCCGCTTAACATTACATTCTTGGAACCTAGTGCATCAGTATCACGGCATCCGATAAAGTCATGAGGTTTTCTGACGTATAGCAAGATGCTTCCTCATTCAGAGTTGGAAAGCGAGATTCAAGACCTCCGCTGGAATAAAACTTCTAGGTATGGAGCAGCCATCTAAAATTGTACAGCCGTTTTCTTATTTGTGTAATTACGTACTATTCCTCACGTAGTCTACTCGATTGAATGAAAAATGTGCTTGACGTGTGGATATCTCAGGATTCGATCATCTTCCATCAAGGTTAAAGTTCAGTCCAAGTGGCCGCCGATCTCACGTGTGCGTACCATGCAGGTGAACCAAAATGGTTAACGGGTCCCCCTTTAAGGATATAGAAAAGTTAGGGGTAATTTCGCCCATTCACTAGGAGAAGACTACCAATAAATTTCGATGGATGTGTTAAAGCAGACAATCGCGTGGTATGCTCATTGTCGTTTAACTGTGTTCAGAACCAAATTAGTAGGTGTTTTTAAATCGGACGAAGTTTGAAAACTATTGCTCAGCCAGGTCTCCAGGAAATGTGTCACACTAACTTTTCTTCCATCAAAAACAACCGACAAACTTCAGAATGCAGGCCTTCTGGGAGCACCGAGAGAGTTATGTTGAAAGGACTTAGAAAAAGTGAACGCCAAACTACACTCCTAAAGAAAATGACTTGTTTTATTTTGTGCCCATTCACTCCTCGCTTGTTCCCACAATGAGATCACCAAACAAGTAATCAGGGTGTTTCCATTGCGTCACTGCAGCAGGCCACATTAACCCCACGACTAACTGAAATCTGTCCCGAAAGGAGACCCATCAAATAAAGAAGAGTGGAATCTGCTGGTTTCCTGCATCATCGAAAATAACTATAATTTCCCAAGAATACGACGAATTTTCCCCAATTATTGGGTGCTCAACAGTTAGTGTCAGTGTAAGAGATTGAAAAATGAGGGAGGGAGTTTTTCAAGGCTTCTGTGAATGACGCAAATTCTGTAACATTTTTCATATTGTGTTGGATGGCTTGGTAGTTTGAATTGTGGAGCACCGTGCACGTGAATAGCCATCTTAGCGCGACAGATTTTTTAGTTGTGGCACACCAAGGACACCATTGTTTAGAGGCCGTTGCATAAGAGTTTATACAGGTTCCTCACTGTCATGAAACCTAACCTTCCTACTTAACATGTCCTACCGGAATGTGACGATATCAATAACCAAACGTAAAACTGAGAAATTCGTTAGCTACTATCTATCAAAGGATTCTCGATTGATCACAAGGGCAGTTACCAATATGTCGCGTTCAATTCATCACTATGTCGCCAAACTAATTTATCATCATACTAATTTGTCACGACCCAGTCTCTTACTATAACAATTAATTAATCGCCAGGCCAATTCAATGTTTGTGGAACAAGGAATAATAAAACTAGCAGCTCGTTGTCAGGTAACGAGTCATTGCTATATTATGGAGTGGCCCACACTGGCCAGGAATTCGGAGGCCAGACGAATCAGGATTTTCGAAAGCTGTCAGCCAAATGAGTACCGAAATCTTGCACAGCTATTGGTGGGACAAGAGCTATCAGCTGGTAGGTAAGCCCATAACGTTAGTCGGTCGGTATTATGATGTTTTTCATTCAGTGTCATATCATGAAACTGATTACCATTTACAATCTTTCACGCTGAACTCCTCTGTTAGGTACACCCCTCGTTTGCCATGCCCTGTTAGCCTTGAGTAACTCCATCCTATAGTTGTGCAAGGCGTTAACAAATTTTGGGCGATGACGGTCCTAGTCTATGTCCCGGGTCGATCGGACTGTCTATTCATGCACTGCGATCCACAAAAGTTGTAGTGTGGCAATAAACTGGACTACAACACTCCGCCGGCGATAAAATGACTTGCGATGAATTGACCTCGATAAAATAGTAAAGTTCTATCCTGTGCACTGAGCACGCAATACGGAAACGGTGCCCGACATGTCTTTGCGTAATGAGGGTGGCTTGAATAATCGCTAACCAAATCATAGAAACCGGTATAAAGTTCATTTAATTAAACTGTTGAACACAAAAGACCTCCGAAATTGCGGAATCGTTGCGGGACACATTAATGTGAATCCAAGGTGGATCAAAACGACGTGGTTCGTTCACGACTGAAAGGCATGGAGTGGTTCACCCCAAGTTTGAGTTTTTCGGTTACAATAAACCACAGGCAAACCAAACAGTAACCTTCCCGCCCCTCCGAAACAGGGAATTTGAAAAAGTGACTTACATCCTGAGATAACCGGATTCGGAAAGATATTGGTTATTGGGGCCAGTGGACCCAGTGCAGTGGCGGATTTGGTTGGTAGGGTGTCTGTTGCAGCATGCCAGCCATCAGTTGTCAGAGAGAATAATGGTGAAGGGGGTGATGGAAAGGGACGGTCGTTCCATCGTGTATCGTCGGAGAATGGTTCAGATGAGATGGGGTCTGGCACCGGTGGCAGAGGAAAGTCGACCTGCACGCATCGATTTTCCTGATTCACATCCATTTCTAACGCTGGCAAATCGAGTTTTCTTATCGAAATCAACGCACTTGAATTGACAGGGCGGGTGAGTTTGGCTTCGTCTACGAAATCATCGACTTCTTTCAGCTCTATGGAAGACTGGTCACTGACCGATGCACTGGTCAGAACTGGTTCTGTAGAGCTGTCATCCGACCGTGAGTAGTTAGGAGTACAGTATGGTTTGGGAGCACTAGGACGACAATGGCGATACCATGGAGATACAGAAGGATCGGGTGTTTGTTTGCTGTCAGCGAGGCTGGCTGATTTGTCAGACTGTCGATTACTGAGCATGAGTTGGACGAAAGGCGTGTAGGAGTTGGGAAACACATTGGTTGGTACATTCGGATGGGGACGCACAAAGTCCTTTAAAAGCAACGCAAATACGATGGGCGAAATGTAACAAAGTTTGCCAGTCACAAAAGACTGTTTTCAGATAAATATGCATCAGTTTGAGCGTTGGACTATCCAGTACTACAATGTGTGTTTTGTTCTTCATGTCACCAAAGAATGACTCTTCCTACACCTTGGAGTTTGCGCTACACCACGTCCTATTCGGCTCAGTAATCCGCCAAAGTATGCACCATGATTAGGTATGGGAATAAATTAACCTCAAAGGGTAGAGATAGGGGTTTTGACATCACACACAGTCGCAACAATCAGTCATATCAAGATAGTAAATGCAATGGATGGTCAGGTTAAACACTTGTTTAGCTCATTACTGTGGCAGGTCATATGGACGCGATAGAATTGCACTATTCATCCTCCTTCTGGTCATCAACATCATGACCACCAATGACAAGTGCATTTGATTCCGGCGGTTTTGTTGCAAACATATTGATACCGTGGGCTGTCGACGGATTTTCAGCAACCTTATGAGTAGCAAGCACATTACAAAGATATTGATAACGTGTTTAAACAAACTGTTTGAGAACCTTGACAGGAAGTCTGCCGTGCAGCACTGGTGGGTCGGAAATAGCTGCTCTGAACCAACAGTTTGATGAACGATGGAACGACCGATACGACAAAATATCAAAAGTACGTATCATTCAGATTCTCTAGAGAAGCTTCTGAACATTTTCCATCAAATTAGAAAATATACAGGTGAAGGACTGCACAATGAAGGGATAGTTCAAGCCTAGTATTTCTCGAAAATGGTAGAAACTTGTGCTTCAGCCATGGTGAGCCCCCGTTTTGGAGCACGCGATATGGGAATAAATGACGCTAAACTGGCTGGTAGCAAACAGACAAAACGGAAAATAAAATTTCCTGTGGGCTGTCACGGATTTTCAGCAACCTTATGAGTAGCAAGCACATTACAAAGATATTGATAACGTGTTTAAACAAACTGTTTGAGAACCTTGACAGGAAGTCTGCCGTGCAGCACTGGTGGGTCGGAAATAGCTGCTCTGAACCAACAGTTTGATGAACGATGGAACGACCGATACGACAAAATATCAAAAGTACGTATCATTCAGATTCTCTAGAGAAGCTTCTGAACATTTTCCATCAAATTAGAAAATATACAGGTGAAGGACTGCACAATGAAGGGATAGTTCAAGCCTAGTATTTCTCGAAAATGGTAGAAACTTGTGCTTCAGCCATGGTGAGCCCCCGTTTTGGAGCACGCGATATGGGAATAAATGACGCTAAACTGGCTGGTAGCAAACAGACAAAACGGAAAATAAAATTTCCTGTTAAGCAGTTAAACTCACTTGCAACTCCAGAGACTCAACTTGGACGGCCAAGCGGCTAATGCGACCTGGGGTAGAGACAGTGGGGGTCCCATCAGAGTTTTTGAAGTCAGCTTTTCTTTGGCACGTATGCGTTGTGGCGATTTGGGTGTTACGTCGCCTTCGACGACTGAACTCATCACACTGTCGTGAATCGGTAGGACGGTAGAAAGTTGACAGCCTTGCGCACATGGGAACTTTTGATGTTCCAACCACTGCGTCAGGCTAAGATAAGGGAAGGCAATATGCATTCCACTTAAAATATGGAGTAAGTGTTACACTGTAGCAAGAGGTAGACTGTTGGACATAATGTGGCGAATTCGACAAGATAACTGCTCGGCACTTTGACAATGGATGACGGGGTGGCCACTATACAAGTTAAAACTGATCAGTCAGGTTAACTCAACATTAGCAGGTTATCCGGTCTTTATGCTTGTTTACTGAGCATAATGCACACCAGGAAGGTGTGACAGCCACGCAAACGAGATCAGGTAAACAACAAAACACGCGCTTCGTTCTAACTGTTGGTCGGAATTGGAAGGGTTGAAGATGAAAGCAAGGAGAAACAAGCCAAAATGACACGGTTACAACCGCGCACATGTGCACCTCTGAGTCTATCACCACGATGTGTGAACATCAACATTCACACATATAGCAATACAAACAAGACGTTCCAATTTCTGGAAAATGAAAATTTAAAACAGTATACAGCAGCACCAGGCCGTAGAAATAGAGTAAACACTTTTTGTTTGCCAAGGTTTCGGAGGATGTAAACGGTTGACAAGATGTGAGAATAAGTTAATAGAGCAGTTTCCTAATAAGAGATTGCCGGAAGGAAGACGTAATGTTCAGCACAACAGTTTGATCTTGCAGATTCCATTGAAAAAGAAACTCTAAACTTCTCCCAATGCTATATAAACCATACGATTGGCAAATTAAGTTGTGGCACCGAACTTAATTGTTTTTTGGAGTGCATCATCCGTAATGCCTAGGAAGTTGACATATGTTGTCACAAAGTTTTTGATCGATATATCGTCCGGCAAGTTACACAATCTTCATAGATCACAAAGACATACTTTGGACCCTATCTATTTGCAATATACTTTGATTTGTGCCTACGAAACAGCGCCAAAGCGTGTCGTAGCTGAACGTTTCTCAACAGGTTGCATCGAAAACATCTCCATTTTGTCGTCGTGAACGAAGGGATTCACCAGCAACGCTCTGAAAAAATTCAACCAAATATGACTGTCCAATTTACATCCCACACTCTGATACGATTGCAGTGCTACTGGTCCCGAGTTCCTGACAAATCAAGGAGTGAAAGTGAGATCGCCAAGTCAGTTCACATCTTTCATTTTTACGGCTGGTACCAGATTACCATGTGTGCCTTCTTAATGAGCAAATACCAAGCCGAGGCATTTTGTTGGCCACTCACCACAGGGATTAGGTTGCCGTGCTGTGCCTCATCCAGCACATTATGTGAACTTGTCTTTCAAAGGCCACACGATCAGAAGACTTGGCTGAACGGCCTGGTTATCTATAGTTGACAGTACCTGGTTTGAGCAGGCTGTAACTGAGACTCAATTCAGAACAAGTTGCAACCGTTCATGGAAAATGTTCCAAAACATTGAAATGCAGGTTTTCGTTGTACTTTGGATCTGGGTTGCATAAAAGATGCTTTACGGTTCCATGATCCTAGCCACGTATCCAATATAGCCATATACGATGTGGGAAGATAGTCGACCCGACTAACGTCGAAGGCATCAACTCTGAATCGTCTGGCATTGCAATGTAAACGCCAGCACCAGCTGTGCAGGAAGTTCACAAAACGCAGTTGTGTCAGCCTTGGACAACTACGAAGACTAGGAAAACTGATTTATCTTACTAAGGCGGCCAATTCGTCGATAGTCTGATGTAGCTCTAGTAAAACTAGAATTTTTTTGGCCCCTGTTATAGGGGTCCATGAGAACCCCGTTACCCCAATACAACTTTAATATAAAAGAATTTGAGTCAGATGTTCAGTGTTCTCCGCGCCCACAGTTTTCGGCTTAAAAATATCCTGAGTCGTTATGATTAAGCAGAACACGTACTTGACCAGAAATGGGTTTTACGTGCCCATTTTACTCTTCAAACCGCAGTGAAGTCGATATAACACTTGTCTTATATCACGAAAACTAGGATCGGACGAATTTCAGCGTTCAGGATGGAAAGTCAACCTGTTTTGCCCTGAAACGCACACCTATTTGGTAGCAGTAGAGAGAAAATCGCCGCAGAGACGGTCGTTACACAAAACTATACTTCAGAGGACGTATTTTTGAAGCACGAATAATTAAACAAAACACTAAAAAACAAACTGCCTACGTGAAGACACTTATGTTTTCTGAATGCTGGTTTCAGCAAGCTACTGAACGACTCTAAATTGCATGCGTCAAGTAAACGGAGACTCTTTGTACTATTTGCTACATCTGATAAGAGGCTGATTGGAACCCACAAAGGGTCTAATTCGGAGCACAGGCACACCAGGCTGTTTCTTCCTACATACAGTATTTCATGCAGTCGTCGGTAAAAGGGCGAAAAAACACTTATTAGATCAAATGAGAGCACATTAATCCCCCAATAAGCGCTGCCGTTTGAGAATGATTTTTACATTGCCTGCCAGAAGTTATCGCATTTTTTGGGGGTGGAGCTAACCGGTAGGATAAGAGCCCTGGTAGAAGTGTAGCGTTGGCGTTGTCTCACAGATTGCTGTCCACCTCACAGCGTCCTGCTCCACAGCACGTTTCTAGTTTAGGCTACTGGTTCAACTTGAGTTTTGAATCGACAGTTTGGGATCCGACGTGGTGATCGAAAATGTGCGATCACCTTGCAAACAGTTTTCACAAGGGACTTTACGTAAGGAGTTAATGCTCACAGACGCATTTCGTGAGCTTACGAGGAGATATCTGTAGTACAAATGTTTAGGTCCGCTAAACTCATTATGTTCTGGAGGCAGCTTATGGAAATTAACTACAGTGCATGATAAGCCCCTTACAAGGAGGCGATGTCAACATACACTACTTGGAACTAAAGGTTGGATTTACAATTAGTAGGAGTACAGGTGAGTGACGAGGGGGAGGACGATGCACTCCTGAGTGGTAAATTAAACTTGTCGACCAATACATTTGGTTATGCTGGCCTTTCACCGCATTAGGAGTCACACTGGATGCAACAGCTTGGATTACCTGCGTATGCTGCAAAGTGATCCTGATAGTTCTTGTACTGGGGTAGATTTCACGGAGAATACTGTGACAGAGCCGTACCATAAATTGAGTGAAATACCGATTAAGTATGGTAAAACCAAACAAATCTATCGTATTTTCAGAAGGGCTCCAACGAAAACCATCGAATATGAACGTTTTGGTCAAGGTAAGGCACTGGTTGATCCGGTGAAACCTACGGTGTCCTCCCGCCATAAAGGTCCTCCACCGCGAGGTAATGCCAAAATGAACGAATGAAACAATTGTAAATGCGACCTCCAAGGCTTTATGGACCTTATGAAGGGTGAGTTCTTTGATCAACGAAGTTTCTCAAGAAAACTGATGGTCCACTTAGTGGTACATAAAGATGGGTATAAACAGATCTGCCACCTCCGTTAGAAGAGCACCAGCCTCCTGCATCTATATCAAGTGCGTAACCTAACGGAATAGTGGGTGTACCAAAAAATTCCACGAGTTGAACATTATTTAAATAATGCTTAACTACATGGCGCACCAGCTATGATGCCTGAACCTCTCCGTATTCAGTTGGCGATATCGATGAGGGGATTTGTGCAGCTTTTTCACACTAGTGAACCGAGCGACTCACGCCAAAGTGGATGTGGAATTAGCATAAAACTAAGAGATGTCCGTGGGAAGTGCCAGTTGTTCACCTCGGGACGGTTCAGTGGCCAAGGTGTAAACTTATTATTGAAGGTTCGAACCCAACCTTGGCATCTTGACTGCTCCTGTCTAGGCTCGGGTAGCCTATACCTTAGCTATCACGCTTCCTTTGAGTGGCATCGCCGGTGGACACCGAAAGGGTGTTACAGTCCAACTACTGCTTTTACTGTTATTTTCCTTATTCTTATTATCAATCGTCTTCACGAAATAAACGGAAAGTATCAGACTGACATCTACAGTTCGCTCATCCCGCGACCCTGAAGACCGTAAACTGCTTTCTACCTTCCAATGTGTTAAATTATGGGAATCAAAAAAAGCCAAAATATTTAGTTCAAAACCACGCGACTATATTAAAGAGTAAGATAACTAGAAAGATGATAACTGTACAGGTATCAATTTCCGTGAGGAACTCAACACATAACAGGGAGGATATACCGGGCGACAAAACCATTCAGTAGAAAGGGTGAAAGGTGAAACAAGACAATGGTTTACACCCTGACAATTTCGGGTTTGGGTACTTACTGCTGGGGATTTCATTTTTTCCACAATATCTGCAACAAGATTTGGTGATCCTTCACACGATTCGCTCAGACGTGAAGCATGACACCGCTGTTCCACAGACCGTGAAGCATTACTAGATGCGGTAGCTGAGAAGGGATCCAGAAAAATATTTATGCACACACTCGGTTACGTCTACACTAGATCACAGGCGAGACACGAATGGTTATATACTCACAAAGGAGTTGAAATCAGGCGGGCCAATTAGAAGTTGAGAACTTAATTCATTACACACCAACATGAAGCTGCACAAAGACCAGAAACTTAAGGGTTTCCGAAATAAAAATATAACCAACCATTCGTTCTCATCGTTTTGCTTGATCGTAGCAGGGCTTGTTGCTGGCAGTTCATTTGGATTTACGGAAGCTTTTTTTCTAGACAAATCAGCAGTACAATAACTAGTCGGATGCCCCAAGCATCGCCCGTCAATCAAAATAGGTAAAATGGTATCCATAGGTATGATGGTCTTAGCAAGCCCAGGATAACCTGAAAATGCTGAAATTACGTGGGCACTGTCGAAAGCATCAGCAACAAATGAACGGAACAACAAATAAAACATCTAACTTGAATGGGTGTTGCTTATATCAAATGACCACCCAAACCACTTTGTTGATGAGGCAAACATAAAAAACGGGATAAAATGCGTGTGGTTGTCCAAAACATTCACTTAACACAATTCGCGATGGAAGCAGATTTGTAAGCTTAATTCGAACTTTCAAACAACACCATAGTCGACAGTAATGTCGATTTTGAACACTAGCGATTTAGTTTAAACATGTAGTGTGAAAAGCTCTGAAGCGGCTCAGCGCTAGACTATGAAAATGTCTGAGAGGCCGTCATCTCTAGTAAGCAATCGACCAGTAGCGAAAACATCATCGGTATCAACCCAACAACCAATCTCGTCTGTATACCAGCCAATGGAGTCCTGTAGAGCGTGGATAGCATCCACGGCTCCACGACTTCATAATCTTCACACCCACCTGCCAAATCATGCGTCACCCTCCTATGGGTTGGGAAGAGTCTAAAATTGTCACAGGGAAAATGTAACATTATGGGAATACTGCCGAAGGGAATTTATTCCTCCGGAAAACCTACAGGAGTCTCTAGTCAAACAAGAAATGAGGCACGATCCTCCTCAATACTTCAAGAGATGTCACTAAACTTGTCCGATAGTTGATAACTTGGTGTACGTAGCCCACAATCTTCCCCATACCTTATGAAAAACGAACGTCTTTTATAACAAATCTGCCAAGAAAGCTGTACGAATGTCGGTCTTTCACTCTTTTATCGAACACTTTCATAAAAAACCGGCTTTTAAATAACAAATCTACTAGGTTTCCTGGGTTTTTTCACGCTCATAGGCTAGAAACTAGATGTTTTGCTCCATTCGAATGCTTTCCCACATTCTTGGAAGGCGAATTTCTATCCCGCACACACAATGAGCAATGAGGATTAATCGTTAGCGGTTGTTACCACTTGGTAACTTCATCAAAAATAGTACTCAGTATGAGCGTTGTTTTCATTTCGCACACAAAGCGGTGTTCTGGACCCCGCTGCCGCATGTCCACAGACATTTGCGCAGGCGTTGAACATCCTCAGTTTGAGAAGACCAGATTTCGCTACCATGCAGAACTGCATGTCCGTGAGTTATGTATTCTGTCCAGTAAATGGATATTGTTTGACTTGGCTCCGAAAAGTCGTCACCTGATTCTTACAGCCCTTCCACCTACAATAATGAGACGAAACAGCTGCCTACTTAAGATTCGCAATCACTAAGAGCTGAGTAGGGAGCGTCCTGTAACAATCCGGCGGAAATACGCAAGAACTACGTTTGAGTGCCTTCAAAGCTGAAGAAGCACTGACATCTCAGTCCATTTCCATTTAAAATCGAAAGAAACTAAATTTGTACGGCCGTTTAGGCTACCCAGGCTGGATGGGACTCATATTCCGACGTTCCCCATATTCCCAAAACCCATCAAAACCTGGGATAACTGGCGAGATGGCTGCGCAGCAGATAAATACGGATGAATCATTCCGGTCGTCTGCACACTACCCGTGTTCAGCCAAGGAATCCAAGGACGGATCTTGACCTGCACTGAGTATTGCGGGTCTAGTTATCGGTATCAACCCTGCAAGCTACCTCGGCACGGTGGCTTAAAGATTTGACTTAGGAGAAAGTTCAAACCTATCGTAGTCTCACAGTAAACACTAAACAAAGAGGGATTCTCATTCCGATAGATCCACCAACCCCCAGAGATATGCATGTCTGTTCGTTTGGTTTAACATCTCAATAATGAGTGTGGGTACGGTGGAAGACCAGAGGTGCGGCGCAGCCAAACCTCACATAAGTGGGGAAACTTAACCAAGTCAGTTGATCAAGACCAGAAGTGATGACCTAGGGATAAGTAAATAAGAACTACAGACGGCCTGATCAAAACTGCTATACACGACCTTCAAATTGAAACAGGGTTCGCATGATTGCTTGCTGCTATAATTTTCCACAGCAGCATGTGAATACTGGCGCTCCATGTGTTTTACAGCATCAAGAAACGAGACCGAAAATGGACGACGCCGTGTTCGTACTTTATCTCTCCATGGGCACCGGCGACAATATATATGCTTGGAGAAGACTACGACATTTCAAGCAATATCAGTGTGAAAATAAATAAATAGAGGTGTGCACCATTTCTGAGCACTAGCCGAGGTCCAATAAGTAATAGTTATTATTTGCCCTTAGTGTCCCAAGTACAGCAACGTTACAACCAAGGGTGTGGATCTTTTTTTGTTTTCATTTTCGTATGACATGTGTCAGCCCATCGGTAAAAAAAATGCAGCCCATAAAGATCTCCGCGAGTATTCCGTTGGTGCGGCACCTTAAACAACGAATGCAGTGGCCGGTTGAGTTCAAGTCTTTCTGTTTTTCCATAAGTAATAACAAACTCCAGCTACTGGTGGAGTTGAAGATACTCCATAATTGATTTCGGCTCACATCGTGTCTTAATGTTTCAGCAGGCGGTCAGCAAAAGCCGTTGAGACCACCTCAAAAATGTTCTTACAAAGTTGAATTGCAGGCTGTTTCAGATACTAACCGTTCGCATCAGGCGCTTAGACGAACTTTACAAGGGCCACTTGTGAAACCTTCATCTTTGTTGGGTTGAAGAATGTAGACAGAGAGAGAAAATCAGAAGATAAAAAGGATCCAAACATGTCCAGTTATATTCAAACGACATAAATCGCATTTCCCTTTTTCAAAAAATAATCTGCCTCAGCCAGATTTAGCTCCAGTTTGGATTTTTTGTTCCATGGCTCAGTAAGAAGTAGTTTGTTGTGGTTTAATGTTCCGTTCTCCTGTACTGCAGTCCCAACCTACCAACTCAATGAACTAGCGGTCCACTTTATCCTAAAACTAACGCTACTGTAACCAATGCGGCGGCGGCCTGAGAATGACAGCTGCCCAGGGTACAAAATGGATGAAATGACCGCCGCTGAAATAAAGGAAAGCTTGACACGTGGAAGGACAGACGCAGTTCACCATTTGAAAACAGTACACTTGAACGAAAATCACCGAATTTGCAAGCAAAACGGCTACCCGGTTAGGGTTGGTGACGATGGATATGATGAGATTCAGACCCGAAAAGAGCTCACGGCATAATAGCCATCTACCGACTAATTATCCTGATAACGAAAACACTGTAGTCAGAAACAAACAGATGAGCAACTTGGGGGTGTTCAGAGAAGACTTAAATGCCTTCTATCACAGCTGAATGAGCACAAGGTGTCAAAACTCAATGATTTCCATACAGGAATTAAGACACTTCGCTCCAGCATTATTTGACGAACCTCTATATCTTTCTGTACGGGGCCAAAGGATTATCAAACAACTTCACAAGAACGGAGATAAGTCCAGGATGGGCAACTACAGGATGTATGCCTTGCAAGCGTTCCCTGAAGGGCATTGAGGAAAAAAGCGCGGAGGACGACTAATAAGTGTATAAACTCCTGGAATCTCCTATCACAGATGCCATACGGGCTGGCCTGCTGCAAGCACTACTTTGTCGACTTGTTTCTTGCAAAGGGAACGTGGGCTTTCTAGAGAGAAAAACACCACATACGTGTTTTTTGATTCGGGTTTCTTCGTATGAGTGGAGTTCATCTTTGCCGAAAAGCCTCGGAGCATTGTGTATCTGCTCCATCACGGAACTTCAGGGAGATCGGAACTCTCGGTTGATAGTTGAAGTCTATAACTTTCGACCACAAGTGGGTGGTCAGTAAGGCGACTGTCCGTTTGACTTAGTAAAGGTTCTCAAACATTGTTGGCCAAAATATCCTGTTTAAGACCCCGGCGCATTACGGATTCGAAAGCTGTCACGGATAGAAGACAAGTAATAAACACTCGTTTTGACATCCTTTTGGTGCTTAGCTACTATGCCACTCAGAGGATGCACAGGGGCGAGATACTGCTGCTCGAGCCTAAACAGAAGCAGTCGAAATGCTCGGGTTAGATTCAAACCATGGACCCTCCGCTTAGTAAGTACGCGCCTCAACCAATGAGCAATCCCGAGCTCTAGGACATGGATGAGAACTAGCTCAATCTTTCAGGATGGAAACTGGCGTCCCTTGAAATTCAGTTCTTAGCCCTATTATCCTCGTGTTGTGTTTAAGTGAACTATTTAAATCGGTGGATACTTCAAAGAAACAATGGACCATATTAAGTGAAAAAGATATAGCAGTATTATGGATAGATTAACTTCGGGATTTATCCAGAAAAATCCCTTTACGTGCGGTTGAGGCGTATCAGATCACAGTTGTTGCTGGGCTAGTCAAACATACATACCAACTGTATAGGAGTCCCATCACGACTGTTACAAATTGGACCTGCGCGATAAACACCTCATTTGTGACTGTATAGTTATAATTAATTGCCGGATGGCGCTTTAGGTATCACTGATTTGTGTCAACAACACTCGCAACAAATGCATGTAAAAACCATGTAAGTCTCAGGGGATCATATTTTGAAAAAAAATTCACACCTTGGGCAAAGTCGGAGTGCAGCTGGGTCCTGAAAACGCTGTTGCAGGACACATTCTGGTCGTCACCCGCTAGAATAACGGCCCTGCTAAGAGCAAGCGAAATTTATGCCAATATAGCTTATATTTGGCAAGCAATCTAATGAAAGGGGTTAGCACTGTGGTGCTCAGCAGATAGGTGCCACTCAGTTCCTTTCTATTTGTACGGTGAATCAAGCACATGACATTGCAGATGGGTAACGTGTAGGTATTATTACTGGCTTCACCGCATTTTACAGCTTACCTGACCTTCGAAGTTCGGATATAAAGCGACGACTTCGCATCTTAACCCGAGCAGACTCCGTAGACGCCATCGCGGAAAATACCATGGACAACCGTATTGAGCGCCTTAGTTGTGCTGATCCTGAGCGTGCAAAAACAAGATCACCAAACAAACCTTTAGGTTAACCCAAATCGGTGACCGGAAAACCAAATCTCACTGAGCACGGCAGCTCAGTTAATGTGAGAGAGAAGCGAGATACACGCGGATTTTCGTAAAAATCAGCTCTGGCCTGGGTGACTGAGCAGATGCCCTTAACCAATTTCTGTGGGGCGACTTGTACGTCCGCCAGTGAAGTCCCTTGAACGACTTTATTCGTATAACAATGGCACCAAAATGCTGAAGTACTTGGTGGAACCTTGCCTAGGGACTTGAACATGTGCAACCCAATTCTGAAGATTTTTTGGATGCGTGGTATCAACGTCCCCAGCTTGTTTAACGTTCTAGCTGGATTCTCAAATTGTTTTTGATACTACCGCTGTGATTGCGACGTTTTAGCCGGGTGCTTTCCAGGGCTCAGTCACCGCGAAGATACAGGCTTAGCCCTTCAAGGAAGTCGGAAACATACCTTTGTTTTTAAAGGGATATGTCTTGTGCAATCCAGTTTCACGCCAAGCTGAAAATGTTTTGCCGCCTTATGGTAACTACAGTTGGTAATAGCAATACATTTGCATTAGAAAATGACCCCATTTTTCAGTTTGCCATTTTGGATAACTTGGCATATAGTCCCCCACGCTACAGAGTTAAATGGAAACGCCGTATGGACGGAATATGCTAGTTAATTTAGCCACGTTTTTTCGAGCGGCATACTGCATCATTTGGACTGTTTCCGGACGCTTTGAACGTTCGTGCTGCCTAAAGTATCAACATTCCCCCGGTGATCCCTCTGTTAAAGCACGATATTTGTCGATGGTTATAGGCGCCTTGTTGGAGACGCTATGAGATAGGACCGCTATTCGATTTCAATGGCGTTCGTGTTGTCGGTTTCTATTCAGATTGGATGAATGAATGACTGTTGGAGGCACCTCAAAATGATTGTAGTGACGTAGCACCAAATAACTTCCCCATTCACCTTTACGTTTTTCTTCACAATAAGGCCTTCAAGTAACCAAGGGTTGTACAGCAGCGATGGTCTTTGTTGTACGCTGATTTTGTGTTGATGCTGGTGGTGATGATGAGTCACGCAACGCGGATTGTATCATAGTAACTGAAATATTCATAACCTCTTCGAGCCACGTCTGCCTCTTGAACAGAGCAACTCTGTAGTTGGCGAGTAGAATGATGCTCTTGTCAGCAAGCATTAAGTAAGCATAACTAAACCATCCGATCATGTTGTGCCTGAATGGCCCATCAGATGACGCCCCTGTTTCATTGCGAAATAAACCTCTTTCGTCCAGCTTTATGGTTCTTTCGGGGTCTAGGCACCGTGCCATAAGAGGGAAGCAAGAAAGCTGACCCGATCGTAATAACCGAATCGCCTTCCATTTGCTAAGGAAAAGGGGGAATAAGCAGAAAATGCAAACTAGCGATCGTCTACTGATGGTTGACCGTTTCGCTCACACAAAGGGGAATAAAATGCAATGAGCTCCATGAAGTTCTCAATCAGAAAGCACCACATGACGGACAGACGAAGTATGAAGAACACAAAAACTGGTCACGGTTGCACAGGGGTATTAAAGACTCAACACAACGACGGCAAGTACTCACTGACGTGAATATTTCGCGCAACCAGGGACGGTGTTGCTTGCCTTTTCTTGTTTCAATCGCTAACCCGCCATTCTATTTTTCTCTTTATCTCTACACGTTTTTCTGCATCCTTTATTTAACGCATTTCGCTGCCAGCAATCCGACCAAAACCATTGAAGGCATATGGCCCACTTTTGTCAAACTGAAGTTGAATGAACTGCACTGAGGCAGTGGTCATCGGTAACTCCAACCACGGAGTTGCTCCAATACCTGAATTACATTCGCCCCGGCATCTGTCATGATGAGCTTCCTTGCAGGATATTTCGGCCGAAACTTGTTTCAGAAAACTAAACACGACAGTCAGTATGTCACCCGGTGACCAAAGCGTACTGCCAGATCTGCATACTTTGCACAACCGAATTAAAATCCCAAGTGGGCAGTAAACTGATGTTTTGATAAACAGGATTTGGTCCCAATCTGGCTTTTCAGTGATACACACACAATGTATCGAAAACACCCGTCCTGAATGCATGGCACACCATCTGAACTATACATATATAGAAAAACACGGAAAAGCCAGGAAATGAGAGTTTGATCGAAGTGCATGAAATGTGGCAATTGGAATAACACCCCGATGCTTACAATGCTCAGATCCGATACGTAATAAAGGTAGAGACGGCAGTGACTATTGGTCTATGTCCAAGCGATTCTTTGGCCCACCGAATGCCCTGCGTGAATTTCATAAGAGCATGAACGAAATCTTAACTTCCGTCCTTAGATGTTACAATGTGAAAAGGCTCGTTGGCGTTGTTTTCACCGAAGTGTCGAGTTACGTTTTCCATACTATTTTACATTGAAAGTAGGTCATTCAAATAACAGGTTATTCCGGGCGTTTAGGGACAGCAGAATGGTTTATCAAAAGGACCCACGTACTGAATTAGATATGACCAGAAATGATTTTGATCTCGCTTTTTTCTGTGATGGTTTCATTCAGCCATTGGAACGTGATCTACAGAGGACTTGGACCTTTTTAGTTTCCGCCATCAGTTCTTGTAGGCATTTCTGCTGACAGGGTCAATTCGGAGACCGGACTAGCCATTCTTTTGTAGATCGCGCCAAGTGAATTATTTGGTTTAAGTAGATCGTTTCGTTGCAACACACAGTGACATGAATAACTATAAGTTTGGCAGTGGATGCACGGGTTCATAGCATTTCGAGTCTCTGAATACTCCTAATTTTGCTGACTGGCTTAATGAATGTAAGATCAATCCCGATTAGTTAACATACAAAGATATTTGTGTTAAGAACATACTCCTATTGACACGCACCCGATGGTCGGTGTTGAAGTCCTCCGTCCTACGCTACGAGAGGTTCACGACATACTTCCCTTAAATTCTTTCGGGGCCGTTCTTGAGAATTCGTCTCTACTCTAATTGGTTGCACGATTCTCTAGTGTATGAACCCCCGTGTGGTACCATCAGTGGTGGATAACAACAATCTTGTGGCGTGTGGGAAAATGATATCTTGAGCTGTTACTGCACGGCAGCGAAGCATCAGTTTTGTACACCGCCGTTGGATAGAAACCTCGTTAATCAGTTTGCGGAAAACTCCAGTGTACTAATCATGTGTGCTTCAAAGACAAGCTTGAAACTTTTTAAAGACAATCTCAGGATTCAAATTCAAGCAACTATTCATGCTAAAGACTAATTAATCGGAATCTGAAGCTCCAAAGACCCTCCCATTACGTTGGCAATTGGCCCGACTATCCGGAGGTGAACATCATTAGGACCGAACAGACGTGTCTCGAGCCGTCTGTGTACCCACCGACGGCACATCCTGACTGGCCAGTATGGAAGCAAACCGAAATCGAGTATTAAGGCGTGATGCTTCTCGCCCCATCACAACGATTGTGGCTGCGAGAGATTCATGCAATAAACCGGTACTCTGACTGGTATGTTGTGCACAAGCCAAGAAGGGCGCGCGTTCAAACCGCATTTGTGCAAAAGCCGAGACAAGCCGCATTTTAGAGGCGCATCCTAAGTTCCTCTTAAGCCGTCGTTCGAAAAACGAAAATCTGAACATGATATTTTTGCATTTGATGGTAATTATTCTGGATTTAATATCTTCCCGTGAGGCCGCAGTTTTATTATAAGTTGTTTAAACGAACTTGGAGTCCACTCTGGGCGCAATATTCGTATTTTATTGGCTGTCGGTGGCACAGAGCATTGTCTTTATGAAAACAGTGAGAAATTTTGGGGAAAAGCAGGCTCCTTCGCACGTTTCCTCACATGTTGGATTTTGAAGTAACCTCAAAATGACTTGGACAATGATCACGCCCATTACGTCCACGCAAACTCAAGTTCGAGAGGGCGGTCGCGACCTAGGTATAAAAAATTCTTCTGTGGTTGCGACAAGCGTCCCGCCGAAGCCAAGGAATTCGTCACAACCGGTAGGTTTTTGTTTTTCATCACGGTCAACATACGTTATGTCTGGCTTAATGCGAGATTTGGTGTTAATCGATGTACCGAGGCACCAATCGTGCCGTTGGGTGACCTATTGGGCCTGTGGGCACAACATGCAGATGGCACAATAAGAAGGCCACTGTTTTTGAGTCCTTACACAAATTAAACGGACTGAAGCGTTCTTGTAGGTAACACGCTTGTCGGTGTAATATTAGAAATATAATGAACTACGGAGAAGCCACCTGAATGGGTATGGTAGTCGCGAAACCGTCATTGTGACGCCGTAGTTAGGTCCATGGGAAGCCCCGTACATGAACATTTTGGATGAGCCGTATAAGATTGTCATTGTCATTGGGTTGTTCTTGGGTACATCGAGGAATCTCTGTCGGTTCATTTCTGCCATTCAAACGAGGTAATAACAAGACCGTGACTATATTGGGGACTCAGTATGGGAAGTGTCCAAAACATCTGCTAAAAAGCACTTTGATGTGAGCTAGAATGCCAAACGGTCAAAGGTTGTCACAGTTCCTAACTGCTTCAAAGATAGGACACGGCCGGTTTCAAAAGCGATCACCGAGAGTCAGGTATGCGGTCGATGCAATGGCGAGCCTGTGCGTAAGTAAGTTAGCTCAGAGCTTGCAGGGACATGAGATCAGATATATCTGGTGTCGATGCTTGTTTGCATGATGAGTTAACCTCAGGACGAAGCTGATACAGACTAAAGAGGTTTGCAAAACCATTTGCGCCTGGGGCATCATATCACGTGTATTTGGCTGGTCTGTGTTAACACCGTTAGCTCTTCCATTACTGATAGTGAGTACGATGTTCTTAGGTGAGCACTCTGTATCAATAAAGTGTCACGTTATCATAATGATGTTTATTTCAGCAGGTGGGTTCCGCACCGTCAGGCATAATCATAAGATTTCAGTCAGAATA